CCGAATCACACGCTTCCTCAATGCATTTCATGCACGCCGTTATGAAGGAGAGCTGCAATATTTTGGGGAAAACTGACATTGCAATTTTGTTTCTGCAGCATATTTGGGTGTTTCGAGGAGCTTCCCGCTCATATCTGCAAAGCGCTTTGAAGACATGCTTAATAAAACACACCAAATCAGTAATATTATTTGTTGTGATATGAATACACTTCCACTTGGTCACAGTTTAAGCTTTATTCATAATTAATTGATTGTTTTAGATTGATTGGGGTGGTTTTGTGTCTCGTATTTTGATCTGGATAAAATTTAACGGAACTAATTAAGCATGCATAAATATAGAATAAAGCAGAATAAAGATACAATCATTGTGTTCAATTAGTTTCTGAATGATTGTATGTGCATTTTACCTGCTCAAAACATGATGTTTTGCACCCAGAATTGTTAGTTTGTGCAACAAATAATTTTATGCACTCATGAATATTATACTTTGATATGCATAAAATATAATAAACAAACCAAGCATGCATAAATAACCAAGCAAAGATAAACTCTAAGATGAATAAAGTGTCTGAAAGACTTTATATTTTATAATGAATATATAATATGTATGAAAATATTTTTAACACATGCAAATCGAGTCATTTATGCACTCAAAACATGAACTATTACATGCAGAATTGTAAATGTGTGTGCATCAAGTCATTTTATACAATCCAAACTATCTTTTGCACACAAACCTTTTCAATGCACACCCAACAAGTCATTTTATGCACTCAAAATTTGATCTTTTGTGCACAGAATTGTTAGTTTGTGCAACAAATAATTTTTTGTGCACCCAAAAAAAAACATGAATATTGTATTTTGATCTGAATAAAATAAAATAAACGAATCAAGCATGCATAAATGCAACAAAGAGCAAAGATACAAGCAAAGATAGATCATTGTGTTCTGAAAGATTGTATATTTTGTAATAAATTTGTAATATATATGAATAAATTTTTAAAGCATGCAAAATTATTATTATTTGTGCAACAATTCATTTTATGTGCTCAAAACATGATCTTTTGCATGCAGAATTATTAATGCGCATACAGCAAGTCTTTTTATGTAGTCAAACCATGATCTTTGGCTCACAGAACTCTTAACACAGGTGCAACAATTCATTTTGTGTGTTCTAAACATGATCTTTTGCATGCAATTGTGTCACAAATTGGACCCCATACGCCTACACCTAATATCTTGATGTGGTCCTGCTTTTGGACTAAAAGCTGCTCCCAGATCAGTGTTTCTGAAGCTCCAGAACTCTTACATAACCCGTAATCCTGGCATTCAGCGCAGACATTCACATTTAAAGAGTGTGAGTGAGGATTTGAGGCTCTTTTCACTGCTCTCTCAGGCTTTTAGTTTGCAGCTATTGAACCAGCGGTCGCCTGCTATTTCTGCTGCCAGAGCGCATATTTTAATCTTTTAATTATTTTCTTAGTACCTTTGTCAGCTGATGAGATATATATATATATATATAGCATTTTAGGTTGAAGCAGGTTTCTGTCCAGTGTCAGCTGAAGTTTGCATGTGGAGGCTTGTAGATACACTGAAAATGCTGTCAGAGAGCCTCAAAGAATCATCAGGATGAATACCTTTGCCTGACATAATCCTCTTTTTTAATGTTAGTAATTAAATGGTAATTGCACATTTAATATTGTCATGGTTTTTGTAATTTTAAGGCATGCTGCTATCATATTGTCATACAGTAATTATTTCAGGGCACTTTTATTACTGTTGGTTTTGAAGTCATCCATTATTATCTCTCCATATTTTAGCAGAAATTAGGCATGTTTTATTTATTTGATTATTTTATTTTTTAAGATTAATCTAGATTATAGTTTCTCATTTGAATTCTGCCGAAGGCATTTAGAATATGTGTGCTACCCAAATAATAAGTCTTTAAGAGTGGGTTTCTCAAGCCAGGTGGCGCATTAGACCAGGGGCTTATCTCCTGTTCCCAAAATGCATCACAAACTGCTTGAGGAACTGTTCTACTCTGATAATTGGTGATGAAAATAAATGATGTTCAAGATGTGCTTGTGTTTACTAACTGTTTATTCAGGTAAACATCAATGTTGAACTGTAGGTCTACATAAGCCCCAAACAGCCGTTTTTGACCACTTTAATCAGACTAAAGTCATCACTGAACTGAACAGAAATGGAGTTAAGACATGTGGAGTCTGCAGATATTAGTGGAGTTACTGAAGTAAACACTGCGATCAAACTATTACCGTCATGTAGGACTTTTCAACATATTTTCCCACAAGATCCACACACACACACACACACACACACACACACACACACACACACACATTGTGAAATGCGGCAGTTTTTTTCTTTCCATTCGGCGTTCGTTATTAAATTCCACAACACTCTCACCCGTCTTCACTCCTTATCTGCGTCTAATACCCCAGTTTGTCACGGGGGCAGTAAAAGTGAAACTGCCGAACTGCAGTTAAAGTCACCCAAAACTACAGGAAACTCTTACATTACAGCACTTGACGTAAACACTTTCATTATCTTATGGTCTATTAATGCAGATAACTAGACTACAGTTGTTCATGTTAGCGTAGTCAGGAGTGTCTTTAAAGGAAGATTCAGAAGGGCGTCCTGCTGATTTGATTCTGAAAGGCATTTGTTTGTCAGATGACTTACAGGTCAGGTAAACATCCTCGCTAAAATATCAAGGTGAAAGTCATCATAGCTTGCGTAGAATAGACCCAGCACCCAACCCAACTCTGAGAATAGATTAACGGTCATATTTGTTTTATCGTGTGATTAGAGTGTTGTGTTAACGCAGCACGTTAACGCCGATAACGGCTCACCACTAAAATATATATATATATATATATACAATACCAAAACTCTTGTGGGTAATTACCAGTTGTAAGACCTATAAATAATAACTTGACTTCTAGCTGATCATTTGGAAAAGTGTCAGAAGGTGGATTTCTGTGATGAATCATCTGTTGAAAAGTCTGGTGAAGGAGAAATCATGGTTTGGTGTTCAGTCAGTATGGAAAGATCTGCAGAGTGGATGATCAACATCAACAGCCTGAGGTATCAAGACATCTGTGCTGCCCATTACATCACAAACCACAGGAGAGGGACAATTCTCCAGCAGGATAGCGCTCCTCATACTTCAGCCTCCACATTAAAGCAAAGAGGGTCAAGGATTGGCCAGCCCAGTCACCAGACATCAACATTGTTGAGCTGATGAAGGAGGAGGCGTTGAAGATGAACACAAAGACTCTTGATGAACTCTGGGAGTCCTGCTGAAGGCTTTCTTCACCATTCCAGATGACTTTATTAATCAGTGATTTGAGTCATGTCAGAGATGTATGGATGCAGTCCTCCAGGCTCACTGCAGCAGGACTTTATATTCTAGTATTTCTATTCTATATTCAGTTATTATCTGTGTTTCTAAAACTTGGACTTTTGTCAGGTAGTATATTTATGTAGTGTGTGTGTGTGTTTATTTTTGCATTGAAGGACTGTAATCTTTTTTTTTTTACTCTAATGACGTGGGACACCTTTCCCTACGTCATTGTCACACTTTTATGAGTTCTTTAGCACACACTCAGATGCACACACACACACACACACACCCCTCAGTGTGACAGCCGTGTCCCCTGTGTGGCAGCAGATTGAGGTTGAACTGAGCATCAGTAATGAGTGTGAGTGTGTGAGCAGCTCATCGAGGACAGACGCGTTCATGAAGTTTCCGTGACGTCAGACTCCTGTGGGCTCCTGCGTCCTGCTGCGCGCGTGCTGCCCGGGACACCACACAAACACACATGCATGCCATTACACAAATGGTGTTCATGTGTGATGTGGTGTGTGTGTGTGTGTGTGTGTGTGCATGCGGGACTATGAGTGTGTGCATTTGTTAGTCTGCAGCTGTTCACTCCTGCAGTTTTTGACTCTTCTGTAAGCAGACACACACACACACACACACACACACACACACACACACACACACACACACACACAGGCTGTCGGTGTGTTTTCAGGACTCTCAGCTCTGCTTCTGTGCTGTTCAGGGCAGAAAGAGCGATTAGCTGCCGCTCTCAGTAAACATGGACATGTTTATAACTCTCTCTTGTGCTGCAATGCATCAGCTCTCAAACACACTTAAAGAGGAGCATGAAGTGAATGGTTAAACACAGTGGGTAGCATGATCACCTCACAGCAAGAAGGTCGCTGGTTCTAGTCCCGGCTGGGTCAGTTGGTGTTTCTTTGTGGAGTTTGCATGTTCTCCCCGTGTTAGCGTGGGTTTCCTCTGGGTGCTCCCCACAGTGCAAACTCATGCGCTATAAGAGTGTGTATGGGTGTTTCCCAGTACTAGGTTGCAGCTAGAAGGGCATCTGCTGTGTTAAACTTATGCTGGAATAGTTGGCAGTTAATTCCGCTGTGGTGGCCCCTGATGAATAAGAGACACATTGTTAACATTATGCAGTTTTGAGTGTGCCTCACACAGGTGAGTGGGCTTGGCAAACCACCTGTAGAAATACACCCCATCTCTCTGACACTTTAATCGACACGTTCACCAGTTTTATGCGTTGGCACCGGACTCCATAAATAATAAATAAAAATAAATAAAAATTTTAATAGTATTTATACCATAGTGAAATCTTGAACCTGATTGGCCGATACGCATTCTTAAATTTCAGATAAACCCACTAAACTAAAGCAGACTAATGTCAGATAACACAAATACTCAACTTACTGTACATTTCAGAAATCAAAACTCAAAGCAGAAGAGAAATGTAGTAGTAGTAGATTTTTATTTACACTTTAGTAAAGTTCAGTCAGCCAATCAGCCAATCAGAATCAAGCGTTCACCATAGTATGAATAAAAATCTATATGTTTATCTGAAATTAAAGAATGTTCATCAGCCAATCAGAATCAAGCATTCAGTAAACCTCTCCTTGTGTGATTTCTCTTGCAGCTCTGGATGTGCGTGTCCCAGAATCCCCTGTGGTGGTTCTGTTTGGGTCGGATGCGCTGCTGAACTGCTCTTTTTCGGGTGTTTCTGCGTTCAATCTGTCGGATGTGAGTGTGTTCTGGCAGCTTTCGGACACTAAGCGCTCCGTCCACAGTTTCTGGAAGAGTCAGGATCAGCTGACGGATCAGGATGAGCGTTTCTCCGGCCGCACCACGCTGTTTTCGGATCAGCTGATGGTTGGAAATGCCTCGCTGCGCATTAGGAAAGTGCGCGTGGCAGATGAGGGAACGTACTCCTGCTTTGTTAGGGTGCAGTCGTATGGGAGCGCTGCCGTCATCATGCAGGTGGCAGGTGAGTATCAGAGAAATGCACTGCAAATCACACTACAAGCAGGTTGGGTTACGGTTTACGCTGTCAATGTAGTTGATCAATTTTTATTTTATTTTATTTTATTTTTTTAATTAATCAATTAATTTATTTATGATTGTTTATTTATATTTAATTATTTAATTCTATTTAATTATTTGCTTTCATGTCATTATAAAATTAATTTTTTAAGTAGATTTGGTTATTTATATTTAATTAAATTTTTGTATTTAATGATTTATTTCTATTTAATGATTTATTTTTATTTAATTATTATTATTTTATATTTAATTGTTTGTTTGTTAAAATATTTACTTTTGTGTAATTATTTAAATTTTATTATTATTTATATTTATATTTAATAGTTTGTTTATATTTAATTATTTACTTTTATGTAAATATTTTATTTTATTATTGTTGTTGTTATTGGTAATTTTATTTATATTTAATAGTTTGTTTATATTTAATTATTTACTTCAATGGAATTATTTTATTTTATTATTATTATGATTATTATTATCATCATCGTTGTTTATTTTATATTTTTATAAATTTGTTTTTATATTTAATTATTTCTATTTATTTATTATTTTTTATTATTGTTTTATTATAATTTTTATTATTATACATTTGATTCTTTTTAGATTTATTAATATTATTTTTTATAAATATTTAATTCTAATTTAATTTTAAATTAATTAATTTATTTTTAATTATTTATTTTTATGATTACATTTATTGTTATTTTTATTTTATTACTAATATTAATAATAAAAATAATATTTATAGTTATTATGGTTATTATTATTATTATTATTATTTATTTATTTATTATTTATTTATTCAAACTTTGAAGTGTATATATTGTGTTAATTTTGTCAATAATATAATATGATCTAATGTAATTTAATGATCAAGAAGCAGTTCTCATTATGATTATTTATCATTATTGAAAACAGTTGTGCTGCTTTATTATTAGCATTATTTATTTTTGAATAACTATTTGAGGTTTTGGTTGAGTATGAACTCTTTTTAACAGACTCAATTAAAACATGTCTTAATTTGCATTTAATGACAAAGTTTTTAACTATCCCTCCAAGAAACACAGAGAGATTTCTCCATCCAAACAGCAGACTAATTCAACAACAAAATGAAATGTGCTAATTAGAACAAAATTGCAGTTTTGCATTAAAATAAGAGACGAGTTGATATAATTATCAGTGATGATCGACATTTTGCCAGAAGTGCCGTCAATAGAGCTTATATTATATTGATCAGGAATCACTCCTGCAATCGACTCGACTGAATCTACTGCTGCTATAAAAACACACATCATCTATACGAGACGCAGCGGGATATTTCAAAATATTGCTGAGGATAAAGTTATTTGTTTGCTGTTCCACACTATTCATTCATATTGCCCCAAAAGAAATCAATTAAGTTAATTAGTTTTTACAAATCACCATAGCCTCACAGCAAGAAGGTCGCTGGTTCAAATCCCAGCTGGGTCAGTTGGTGTTTCTGTGTGGAGTTTGCATGTTCTCTCCGTGTTGGTGTGGGTTTCTTCCGGGTGCTCCGGTTTCCCCCACAATCCAAACACATGCGCTATAAGCAGGGCCAGACGGAATCTGCGGACGTTTTTTGCTATTTCTGCTGAGAATTTTGGTAAAAATCTGCGGATTTCTGCGGAGTTATTTTGGCAGTATCCAGCGGAGTGTCATAACTAAAACTTTAATATATGAAATAAAAAGTAATAAATTACAAAAAAAAAACAAAAATAAAAAAACTGAATAAATTCAGATTTACACATTTACTCAAGTAAATAAACAGAATTAATGATGGGCTAAAAATCTGCGGAAATCTGCAGAAATCTTCGGAATTCTGTGCGCGCAGATTCCGTGTAGGCCTAGCTATAGGAGAACTGATCAACTAAACTGGCCGTAGTGTGTGTGTGTGTGTGTGTGTGTGTGTGTGAGTGAATGAGTGTGTATGGGTGTTTCCCAGTACTGGGTTGCAGCTGGAAGGATAACCGCTGCGTAAAACAAATGCTGGAATAGTTGGCAGGTTAATTCACTGTGGCAACCTCTAAAATAGAGGCTCATTTTAAAATTGTATATATTTAACAAATATATAATATATATATATAATATATATATATTAATATCAATTAATGGAACATTTTTTGCAATGAATTAAAAGACTGAAACTTGTAATTTTGGCTATTATTACATGACATCAAGTTACATTTCTGTGGATGTATGGAATAAAATTGCTGTCATAAATATTTTGTGCGTAATAAAAATTAATGCATCTGTAATTATTCAAACCGTAAAGAAAAATGAAATGGACTTATAATGTTACGAGGGTACACTTGCAATATCTGCGATTGGAACAGAGATACGACATTTTAATTTACGATGGCTGTGCTTTACAAACACGAAATACAGTTTTACCACAGACACGACGACCTGATTATAAGTACGAATCAAAAAGCAACACTCCGCTCTCAAGTGAGAGCCATCGATCACATCGGTGTGATTGCGTGATGAGATCCTGAATCCTGACTGAAGGAAGCCTGACGAGTAAATATGGCTGGGCATTCAAGATTTTTGTTATTCCCTCTTTGAGAAATGTCCGTCATGAGCATAACAAAATTCTTACCTGAGACTGTGTGTGGGTACTCGAGTGCCCAGCCATGTGGTGATGTAATTTTGAGAGCGGAGTGTTACTGTTTTCATTTGTACTTACAATCGGGGCGTCATGTCCGTGGTAAAACTGTATTTGGTGTTTGTAAAGTTTGTAAAGTACACCCATCATAAATTGATCAGTCCTATACAAACAGAACAAAGACAATGTTGTATCTGTGTCTGTACTAATCGCAGATTTTTGGAATTGTACCCTCGTAAAATTCCATTTTATTTAACGTTTTTATAATCACACATGCATGAATTTTATTTAAGCACTAAATGTTTATGACAGCGCTTTTATTCCATATGGATGCAATTATTTGTTTGCTGTACACTGTAAAAATGCAGCGTTCCACATTATCTGTTCATATTCATGGTGTCCCAGCACACATCAATGAAGTTGATGATGTTAATTGGTTTTGACAAATTTAAGTGCATTGAACATGTAAAAATTAAGTTGTCATCCGAAAAAACAACTCATTTAATCCTTATAAGTAGTAATACACTCGTAAGTAATGCTCATACTCATGAATAGTCTAAACAAGCAGCAAATGCCATTTTTTGAGTGTATATAACCTTCATTCAGCTTAGTCCCTTTATCCATCAGGGGTCGCCACAGTGGAATGAACCACCAACTTATCTAGCATATGTTTTACGCAGCGGATGCCCTTCCAGCTGCAACTCACTGCTGGGAAACACCCATACACACTCATTCACACACACACACTAATACACTACGGCTAATTTAGTTACTCAGTTCCCCTATAGCGCATGTGTTTGGACTGTGGGGGAAACCGGAGCACCCGGAGGAAACCCACACCAACACGGGGAGAACATGCAAACTCCACACAGAAAATCCCAAAATATAGGAAACTGCTAATTTATTTGTTTACAGTGTACGGTGACTCCTTCATGCTGCACTTTACAGTAATGTGCGACTCTGTGCAGCACTTGTGCATGTCTGGGTGCTGCAGTATGATAGATATCCTTGCATATGTTGAATATTGCTCATGCGGAGACTCAATAATGAGCGAAATCATTTCCGTGGCTTTTCTGCATCAGCTGATCAATATAAGATATTATAGATTGATAGGATTTGTTGTGACTGATGCTCTCTGGAGGTCCAGCTCCACTGTAGCCCTTAGATGTGTTGTTATTATTATTATTTTTATAGCCGAGTGCACTTACCAGGGAACATCATTATTTATGATCTGTAGATGGCATTTTCCCATCGAACTCTCTCTCTCGGCTTCTGCTTTCTCTGGATACGCTGAATTAAGTGATATTAATGCGGTTCTGTCTGCTTCTGCGCGTCTAATGAAGATTAAATAAAAACAGCGCTGTCGTTTTCACTGTTTAACATTATAAGGCTTCATGTATATTAGCAGTGTTATTTCATATATTGTACAGTAACTGCTTCTTGTAGGAGATTTTTCAATTAGAGACGTTTCATCTGTTATCGTTATATCCTCATATCTTGTTTTATATGACGTTTACAGGGATAGCTCATCCCAAAATGAACATTCTGTCATCGGGAACGTCCTTGCAAACTTGCGTGACTTACTTTCTCTTTTTAAGGAAGGAAAATTAGTAGATGAACAGATTTGGTGGCTATTATATTTATTTATATACAGCTGAAGTCTGAATTGGGCAGCAGTGGGTAGCACAGTAGCCTCAAAGCAAGAAGGTCGCTGGTTCGAGCCCCGGCTGGGTCAGTTGGCATTTCTGTGTGGAGTTTGCATGTTCTCCCTGTATTCGCATGGGTTTTTTAATTGTCAACCTGAAGATCGCTAAAACTGAACTGTAAAAATACTTTGAAAGCAAATTACACCTAAGAAAGATGACCTTAATGCTTTTTGAAAAAGTTTTGTTCTAAAGTAATAGGGCATAGGGGAGATCACTGGGAATAGAACACAGCCAGAAACTCTGCTTCTAACTACAGCCCCAGAAGTGTAGTTGGAAGCATACAAGTTTGCCATGCAGTTTGTGAATTTGGATTTTGGAAACGGCAAATCAACAAACTATGTTTGTAATGACGCAACTTGCGACTTTAGTTGGCTAATTATGGTTTTCGGAAACGCACCCCTGGTTGGGTGAAGTGTATATCACGCCCTCTGGTGGATTTACAGGAGAAGAGGACACGCAAGAGAAATTTCATAAAGTGAACACAGCGACCTCTGGTGGATTTGCAAAAGCTGTAAGCAGACGTACCTAGGCATGGGCCGCTATAAGATTCTGACGGTATGATAACCTTGGCAGGGTTCAACGCTAAGGATTTTTTCTACAGTATTTTGAATAATGTGTCAAAAGCCAAACATAATTGTATTACATACACTTTTTATTCAGCATAACTTTACTTTAAATACAACTGACAATTAAAAAAAATACAATTGTGCTGTACTTGTAACTAAACTGTGTGTGTGTGTGTGTGTGTGTGTGTGTGTGTGTGCGTGTGTGTGTGTGTGTGTGTGTGTTTATACAACAGTTCTGTCTGGTTCTTGAATCTGATTGGCTGATAGCCGTGCAATATTTTGCCAGTAACATCACACAAAGGCCTCTTCTTCACCTCTATGTATTACTCCGCCCACATACAGCAAGCAACAAGCAGGCTACAGTTTGACAAATATTGCTGTTGTTGGACAACAAAATGTACCTTTGAGGCTTTTTTCGTGGAGAATGTAGTTGTTCAGATTGCAACTATGCAGTTTATTTGTAAGAATAGCGCCTATTTTAAAATATTTACAATCTCTGTGGACGGATGGCATTTCATGTCACGTTCAGCCTTATAATCTTAAAATGTGAGCAAAATTTGCTGTTTTATCATCACCTTAAGGGGGTCACACACCAGAAGCGCCGCTTCATATTACACTATAGAGAGTCATTCAAACACTAGCTCTACAGTGACGTTCGTGAATTAGTAATGACTTCTGCTGTTCTGAGGTCAGCTGCAGATGTGAATGAATGGCGAAAAAAAAGTAGTTCCTCATACAAAACAGTTTTGGACTCTCCGTGTTTGATTTTCTTTTTTATGTACAAGATCGTGCCGTCAAACTGTTGTATAAACGCAGTATTGGCCTGCGGTTTCGTACTAACGCACGCCTCCCACCAGTGCCACCAGTATATATATATATATTACACGTTACCGGTCAAAAGTTCAGGGTCAGTTTTATTAATTTTTTTCATGTTTTTTTTTTTAAGAAAATTATTCTGTTCATCAAGGCGACATTTATTAAATGTAAAAAAATATGTTAAATTGTTGATTGTTTATTAACATTTTAAATAATAGCCTTCTTATTGTTGGTAGTTTCAAATTAAATGATTACTCCAGTCATAATTGCTTTTATTACTATTTCCATTAATAATAATAATAATAATCATAATAACAACAACAACAACAATAATAATAATAATAATAATATTAAAAATAATAACAATGACGATAATATTAATAATAATAATAATAATATAATAATAATAATAATTAAAAAACTTGTGTATACCCTGGGAATGATATAAACAGATCATCTAAGCGGTATTAAAACATTTTCCAAGCCATTAAATCTTGAAACCAGTTACCCATTGATGTCTACACATACCTCCGGTTATGTACTTCACTGTCCTCATAACTGTAGATCTTGTAGATATCTGCAATGAACCTGGGTTTGTATTAATTGTTGTTAATGTGTGTGCAGCTCCGTTCTCCAAGCCGCTGGTGTCCTGGGACTCGGACTCCAGTCTGAAGCCGGGTGATGCGGTGTCCCTGAGCTGTGTGGCGTACGGCGGGTTCCCACAGGCGCAGCTGCAGTGGCAGGACGGATCCGGACACAACCTGACAGAGAACATCACTGTCTCCCAGCTGGCCAATGAGGAGGGGTTATTCAGCGTCAGGAGCGTCCTGAGCGTGCATCTGGAGCCCAACAGCACATACAGCTGCAGAATCACCAACCCACTGCTGGGGGACGAGAGCCAGGCCTCGGTCACCATTACCGGTTAGTGTGTGTGTGTGTGTGTGTGTGTGTACAGGTGGTTTACAGGGACACAAAGCTGTATAATGACATGGATAAGACTTAGTTGTACTCTATTAAGGTGGTTTACAGGGTAACACCTCGTGTCCCTTTAATTCAACATGTTTAAATCATACCAAACTAGGTCTTTTGACATTCAGATTTTGTTGGAGGGTTGGGTTTAGAAGTAGGGGAAAGGTAGGGGTATATTATAAGCGGTTTCTACTGTAATTACGCATATGACGTGTCCCTGTAAACAACAGGTGTCAAACTCAGTTCCTGGAGGGTCGCAGCTCTGCACATTTTAGCTTTAGTTTAGCCATAGTTAAACAAACTAATTGAGTCCTTTGGGCTTGATAAGGTTATGGATATATGGATATATGTATGTATCTGGCTTCGGATGGCCAGTGCGCCTTGGTCCCACATTCATTTCAAAGCAGTGCTACCCTTTACTAAAATATTGACGCATTCCTTCTAATAGACAACAACTGAGTAGGCAACATCTAATGTAAATATCTGTCAGCATGTTGAAGCATGGTTGAAACTAAACTGTCCAGGGTTTGACACCCCTGCTGTTAACCATACGAGGATGTGTCAGGGGTTAAATGACTTTAGATTTTTGGACTTGTATGTTATCGAAGTCGAGTTGACGTCGACTAGTCACTATTCATAAAACCGAAGATGCAAGAGTTTTGCAACATGCCACACTTTGCTATTTATTTATAGGAAATATATACACTGTTTGACAGCTCATATCATGTTGCAAAAAAAAATGCAACATTAGCACTGACTTATTTCAGTGCAAAACAAATGCAGTCAACACTTTCATTTCGTTATTATTGCAACATTAGCGCGGGCTGATTTTACAGCTGAATAAATGCAGTCAACACATTGATTACTGCACTTTCTAGTAAGAATGCATAGATATATACATTAGATGTCGCCTACCTTGTTGTTGTCTATAGGAAGGAATGCATCAATAGAGCCGCCATTTTAGTACAGGGTAGCGCTCCTTTGAAATGAATGCGGGACCAAGCTGCAGTGGAGGACTGTGGCCATCCAAAGCCAGAGGATTACACATATACACACACATCTATGATCGGGAGTTTTCCCAGAGGTCAGTATGCACATTTTTTATTAAATTACGAAAATTATAATTTCACATCAGTTTTCTACATTGATGGATCAGTGACCGCACGGGCATTCCTGACAAAAAGCTTGTGTTTGTGTGTATGGAAATGTACTATCCACCCTCCCTGTTAAATCTGATCTAATCATGTTCTGAAGCACAGCTCCTCTCCTGCTTTCACTCCTCATACTGACGGAGGGAGCGATTCGTTTGTGAATGAATCTCCATTATGAACGACTCCTTCACTTAGCCGACAATAACACCAGTTTCTGGCAGCGCAGCATCTCGTTGTCATATTTATTTTGCTTTGTTTGCTGATTTTATTCAACAAAACTATTATAAGCCGAGTGTTTAGTGTGAGTTGGAGCTGCTTTGCCTGATGGTGAATGCAGTAAGTGACTGTTATCATCAATAACGTTACCTGGTTAGCACAAAAGTTCAGAACATACAAAAACATAAAAAACGTAATATTACCTATGAAATGTTCTGCCTTTGTTCTTTGTTTGCTCCTGCATCTTCACGTAATAACACTCTCTTGACTAGTGAGGTTGAATGACACTTGTCCTGGGAGCACTGTACCAATATGGCGGCGCTATTGACGCATGCTCAGTGTCCGTATGCGATATCTAGTGTATATATCTATGGTAAGAATGTAACAATAACAGATATTTTTGTGCAGAAGTAATGTTGTGTTGTGAAAAGGCCACTGTAGAATCTCTGTGGTCCAGTTGTGTGTGTTTAGGTGAATCCTCTAAAAGCTTCAGTGTTTCTGTAATCGCTTCAGTCAATTAAACCCGTCTCTGATTCCTTCATGAACTTTCCTGCCAAGCCCAAATGTGGAGTAAATAATGAACTGTTCAATTATGATCCGCTAGGCATCGCCACCGGTTTCCTCTCATTGTTACATGAGAAAGTGGACGATTATTCCTCAGATTATTCCCTGATGTGAAGAGGCTGGTGTTTGTGTGTGTGTGTGTGTGTGTGTTATGCAGGTCTGCTAAAGTGCTGAAGATGATGTGAAATTATTCATTCGTTCATTTTCCTTCAGCTTAGTCCCTTATTTACCAGGGTTCGCCACAGCGGAATGAACCGCCAACTATTCTGGCATATGTTTTACACAGCGATTGCCCTTCCAGCTGCAACCCAGTACTGGGAAGCACCCATACACACTCATTCACACACACACACTTATACACTACAGCCAGTGTAGTTGATCAGTTCCCCTATAGCGCATGTGTTTGGACTGTGGGGAAAACCAGAGCACCCGGAGGCAACCCACGCCAACACAGGGAGAACATGCAAACTCCACACATAAATGCCAACTGATCAAGCTGTGACTCAAACCAGCAACCTTCTTTGATCTAAATAATGCAATAAATGAGTATAACAGTCGTGTTCTGCTAGTAGAAACTGAAGAGTGTTTCAGTGGCATCTCATTTCTTCTTGATTGGGAGATCTTATACACAGCTCTTATTTCTAGATCTCCCTGTTCTGCATTGATCAGCGTTGATCTCAGCATCTGTTTATATGTTGAGCTTCGCACTACCAAAGCTTTACAACTTGTTGGTAAACATGCGTGAGGATCTGCGTGTGAGCTGAGGGATCACGCAGCCCTTGTTTGATATGAAAATGCACTTGCGTTTGTTTACAACAGCTGCTGTATGCTCAACAACTTTGCTAATTAATATTGACCCAGCAGAGCTACATGCAGTTGCTTGCTTGTTTTTCTATTGCAAACAACTGTGCAACCAGGATTTGCTTTGAAACGAAACGCTCCACATTTACATGCGGTCAGATTTAGATCAGAAGCGGGAGTTTCTGGAGAGATGCTGACTATTTATGGAAAAACCTGAACAGTATTTATAAAGCCACTGCTCCGTTATTTATGGAAGTTTTTTCCTATCAAAATTCAAATGAAAATTCAAATGCTTAAAAGATCAAATGATAAATCAAATGCTCAAACTATAAATCAAATGCTCAAACCGACATTGCAAATGATAAATCAAATCCTCAAACTGACTCTGCAAATGATAAATCAAATGCTCAAACGGACTTTGCAAATGGTGAATCAAATCCTCAAACCGACTCCTCAAATGATAAATCAAATCCTCAAACTGACATCGCAAATGATAAATCAAATCCTCAAACTGACATCGCAAATGATAAATCAAATCCTCAAACAGACATCGCAAATGATAAATCAAATCCTCAAACTGACATCGCAAATGGTGAATCAAATCCTCAAACTGACATCGCAAATGGTGAATCAAATCCTCAAACTGACATCGCAAATGATAAATCAAATCCTCAAACAGACATCGCAAATGGTGAATCAAATCCTCAAACTGACATCGCAAATGGTGAATCAAATCCTCAAACAGACATCGCAAATGATAAATCAAATCCTCAAACTGACATCGCAAATGGTGAATCAAATCCTCAAACTGACATCGCAAATGGTGAATCAAATCCTCAAACTGACATCGCAAATGGTGAATCAAATGCTCAAACAGACATCGCAAATGATAAATCAAATCCTCAAACTGACATCGCAAATGGTGAATCAAATCCTCAAACTGACATCGCAAATGGTGAATCAAATCCTCAAACTGACATCGCAAATGGTGAATCAAATGCTCAAACTATAAATCAAATCCTTAAACCGACATTGCAAATGGTGAATCAAATGCTCAAACAACTCTGCAAATGGTGAATCAAATCCTTAAACTGACATCGCAAATGGTGAATCAAATGCTCAAACAGACATCGCAAATGATAAATCAAATGCAAATGAGGTGTCAATCAACCAGCATAGGCGGAGCTTTAAGGCGGAAGAGTTTGTTGTTGATAACCGGTAGCGCTACGACTTTTTCAAGGCGTTCAGATTTGCGTGCACTATTCCACGTCGTATCCGTATAAACTCGTGAAAGAGAAAGCGAGAAATCTCCTACTGCTTCTGTCCACATTCTGAAGTGTTCATCAGATGGGTACATCTATTATAGGAGGCCACGAAAAACCATACGGCAAGATGATAAAAAAAAGTTACATAACTGACATTACAAGCGCAACTTTAAATAAATGGCAGGTTTATTAAATCTTAATTTAAAATAATATTTTATTACATAAGATATCCTTGTCAAATTTCACCTAATTTGTTACCTTTATTGTGTAACATTTTTTATCCACATGTAGAACATGCTTAAAGTTAGTTTTCCAGTCTTGTTTGATTATATAATCATATATTCTTATATCAAAAGAAAATCTATTACATTTGTTCTCTTTTTGCTGTTTATGTTAATTGTTAAGATACAGCAATGTTTCCCTAAGCCTGTATGAAATTTTTATTTCTGCATAATAATGATTAATAATAATTGTTATTGATAACAATCCCATAATAATACAAATAAAATAGCAGGGACAGAAGCAATAACACCTAATAGCATCAGTAACTTGATAACCCTACCTGATAGCCTTTCTAATGTTGGCACATTGGTACATCTGCACAAAGATGTCGGACAGCTGCTTGAAGATCTTCTTTTGGAGAAATTTTACACTCGAAAAATGTGAGTATTTACTCTAGACTGCAAAGCCCACCCCAACACTTACAAAAATAATAAATGCTGTACACACACACACACACCACAGCTATGCATGAATAGTCACTAGACAAATGTAGCCAAGGTGAGTACATCTTAATTTTCAGTCAAAAAATGAAATAATGTAGTTATACATTATTGAAATTATTAATGTATTCATCAACAATTAAAGAAAATATGGATGTATGATTAAAAGAATTAATAATAGTAACCATGATAAATAAATACAAGTCAACAAGATACGAAACTAAGCTTTATTC